AGACAAAAAGCAATGGCAACCCATAACCATGAAAAGGAATATACACAAATCCTGCATCCCAGGAATCAATACAATAATGGCACATGCTAGCCACTACTGGATTAACTGGAACACAATTTATACCTTCAAAACAAAATTTTTATGGGACAGGTAGAGTCTTGGCAAATTAGTCAAGTATATATCAGTACTTGGCAATAAGTCGCATGGTAAGAAGATTTCCTTAGTGAGTTTACTTAAATAGATAAAATGATAAATTTGTATAAATAAATTTGTACATACTCATCATAAAAATATCTAATAAACAAGGTGTAAGCTACCCGTTCAAAAAATATATATATATATATAGTATTTATAAAATAATATTTTTGAACAAAAGAAAAACAATAAGAAAAGCTAAATATTTGAAGCTACTAATAAGAATAAAAATATTTGAGCAAAAAATTATTAAAATGATTCAATCTATTGAAATAACAATAGATTCTAGAAATAAAATATTCTATATAGTAGTTGAACAATGTAAGACTAAAATTATTGAGAAACATGTTCAAGATAGATCCTATTAAGATGACCTTAAGGAAATTTTAAAAAAAATATAGAAATAAAAAAAATATTAATATTCTACTCAGATAGATCATTAATAGATTATGAAAAAGATATAACCAGAATGGAAATGATTTGAATCCAGATAGATAGCAAAGAATAAGAAAGCAGATTTTAAGTAGAAGTACAAGATTGGTTATCTTTCATAAGAATAAAACTAACTGCTATAGTCACAATTTTACTAGTAACACTAGTAGAAAGTTTAATTAAAATTAATACAGACAATCAAATATATATCTTCAAATAAAATAGCTCCAGAAAAAATGTTTCAAGAATAATTCATAAAAGATGACTAAAAGAAAAGAATTGACCTATCTAGATAAAAATACTAAGAATAGTTAAAACAAAAAACTTAAAATTAAAGCTAATCAATGTTAAAGTTCATTTTAATATCATAGAAAATGAAATAGCAAATAAAATAGTCAAAGAAATACTAGATTTTTCAATAATTATATAAAAAAACCTTAAGTCTAATAAGATTATTGTAGAAATTAAATAATTAAATAACAGAATATAATATTAAATAGTCCTATAAAACAATTCATAAAAAGAACAAACAATAAAATAACAATATATAATTGAACCCAACAAAAAAGAACTAAAAATAAATAGAGCCCTTTGATAATAAATCATAAAAAATATTTATGGAATATAATATGGAAGAGATTAATAAAAGAGTATACATGGGATATATCCTTAAAAAGCTTATAAAGAAAAAGCTTTCTAATCAAACTGATTAATAATAAACTATTCACCTTATTCAAACTAAAAATAAGAAAATTTGATTTATATAAGAACAATAATTATATTGTATGCAAGGATCAGGAGAAAATAATTAAACATCTAATAGAATGTTTATTCTATAAGAATAATATTAAGGAAGCTTGGATAAAGAAAATAGTGATAATATAGCAAGAATTCCAAAAATCAAAAAAATAAAAAATAAAAAGAAAAAAACTGAAAATATTATAACAATATGTTAATAAATATGAAAATTAAATAATGAAACTTATAAATAGTATTCAAAAAAAATTAAGATGCAATCAATTTTTTATAGAACTAGTTGGAAAAGATCTATTTATAAAAAAAAAAAACTAAATTATAAAAGAAAAAAAATAGAAACTATGATTAGAAAATGAATTTTTTATAGTCAAAAGAAAGTTCTAAATCACTTTAGGAAAGAAATATGAAATAAAAGATGTGAAAGTATGATAATATGAAAAAAGGCTCAATTAATCTCTTATAAGAATAAATAAAGAGTCCTGTGAAGTCTTTTACAATAAGAAAAGTAAGAAGTGCAAAGAAGAAATGAAAAACTATAAATTAATCAAATTCGAAAATAATTTAGACTAAAAATAATAACTTTTAAAAATATTTTTTAAATAATTTTAAACATGGTAATAAGATTTTATCAATTAAAAAGTTTAAAAACTTTTAATGAATATTTTTTTTCTTAATATGATCAAAAAATTAATAAAAAAGTTTATACTATATATTTTAATAAATAAATAAATAAATAAATAAATATTTTTAAGGTTTAATAAATACAATTTTTATATTAAATAAATAAATACAGTATGTTTATATTATTTAATAAATATTTTTGAAATCAATTAAATTTGATTATTAAACAATTTAAGTAATAAACTTTTAATTATAAATTATTTAATTCAATTATTTTTACTTAAATTCTCAATAATTTTTTACAAGTTTAAATTGATTTGCATATAAATTTATTAAAATTTTTTATAATATAATAATTTTTTTAAAAAAATATTTTAAAGAACAATATACTGTAAAAGAATATTAAGAATTATTTGAAAAGTAATCAAAAATTTTATTGAAAAACTTTTTAAAAAAAAAAGATTTGAAATAAATATTGTATAATAGTAATTAAATTAAAACAGAAAAAAAAAAATCAAAAATATATATTACAAAGTAAATATTAAGAAAAATCAAATTCAAGGTTATAATCTTTTTTAAAAGAAAAGAAATTCAAATTAAAATCAAAGAATATATAAAATCTAAGAAAGTGAATTTTTAAATGTTATATAAAAACTTCAGGATATCTATAGTAATAATTTGGAAGCAATAATTTTTTTATTAAAGAATAATTTAAGTCAAAAAGAAAGTAAAATATAATCTTTTAAATTATATCTAGAAAAGCTTAACAAGAAAGACGGGCTACAGTATATTTGTCTCAACGTTATATTTGTCTACTAATAAAATAAATAAATGGTCTCAACGTTATATACGTATGCTAGTCTTTCGATTGTTTGGTGTTATTAAGCTTTTGATTAATTGTTTTTCTTGATGCGGCCAGGATTATGGCAAATAAAATTCTCGAATCAAATTGTGATTGCGTGTGAACTTTTTTTATAATGATCACCGAAAACGACTGATATTAATCATTCGGAAGATTTTATTTCGCAAATGGGATAGGCGCAATTATCGTGCGTACGTGCAAACAAATAAATAGATGTGAAACACTCCACCACCAATTATTGTTCTATATAAGTACAATGAAAATCCGAGAGGTCATATGAAGAGTTTGTATCTATAATAATTATGAGTCATGTTTCTTTCAAAACTTGAAAGATAATTTATACTATTTAGTAAGTGAGGTCATTTGGATCGATGAGAGAATGCGTGGGAACAATTATAAACGCGTGATTGTCCTTTTAATGAATCCCCCAAAATAATGACGTTGCCTGACATCTATGTTGATATCTCGAAAGCTTTCCAAGCATTAGTCCCAAAACTTATAAAAAGGCCAATTCATGCTTAACTCAACCCAATATCATAATTCTTTTTATACAAAAAAAAATGAGTTTTAATAAGAGACAAGTTCCTATCAATAACGAAAGACACTACCAGCGGTATGTACCAAGTGGCATGAGCATTCTTTTTTTTTTTTTCTTTTTTTTTTTTACTCATTTTTCGTCGAAAAATAGAAGCTCTTTAGTGGACATTCGTGGTCAACCGAAAAAAGTCTGGGGCCGGTAATGGCAATTGGGGCGTTGTTGGCGATGAGATAAATGCCGAGTAAAGTATACCCAATGCACTAGAACATTCTCATCATCCTGCTAAGTCTCATTTCTCGTATGATTTTATAGGGTGAATTGGTCTTGGCTCGGGTTTTCCCATCTGAGATCAGATTCAACTCACATAAGGGTACGTTAATATTGCCTCATTTGCATATCCATCTTCACGTTTTTAACCTTCTAAAAATAGGTTGCTGCACCCGAGGAATTCTTCGAAATAAAGAATGCCGTTTCACAAAACTTCTAAATAATATGACTTAATTATGACTTTAATTTATTCGATACTTTTCTTCTCTTCGAGCCTCTCTGCCTGCATGGCCGTCGACTTTTCTGGATGTTCAAGTTATTCAATATTTATTTCATTTTAAAGCCTTGATGCACCCGGTTAATCTCTCCTTTGATGTATAATAAAAGTTCTGTAAATATTATTCTATGAATGTTGGTGTGTTTGCTTTTTTTCATAAGAAATATGATCGAACATTCTACATCACATAGATCCCTGAATTTTTAATATGGGTGTTCTTTTAATAAAAAGCTTTGTGCAAACAAAAATAAGAAGTTAAACATGGGGTATTTAATAACCCTAAATTCAACCGTTCACCGGTTTATTATTGCAACTTATATTTCTACAATTTTCAAAAAAAATCCTTTTCTTTTTTTGAAATTTTCGAATGCAAAACTTGTGCGTTATCTTGCAGCAAACAAAATGCTGAAACAAATTCTGAAACGCCAATTCGAAAGTTCGCTCGGTGATTTCACGTGATCAAAGGAAGTAACGTTGCGTGCTTACAATCTACCCATTCTCGGCCTAACCATTGCATCAAAATCATACGAAAACTGGGATAAGCGACGTCGTAACCACAAAATTTATGGTATGGACTTGCATTACTAACACCATTCCGATCATAAAACCCATAAACTAATTAAATGTTAAAATAATCAATAGGTAGATTTATTCATTATCAAAAAAGTGTTTTATCAATTTCACAAATGATCATTCGCAGCCCCGAACATAAAATATTTTACTGTAAGAAATTGAGTCGCACTTGGAGATATAATACCATACATTGACTGTAAAAAAAAAAAAAAAAAAAAAAAAAAAAGGTAGAATTCAAATCCCCGTCGGTATTTGACGACATGGTAAACTCATTCCTTTACAGAAGCAACATTGTAGTTAACACTGCAACCAATCCGACAAACATACTATAAATCACCAGTAAACTTTCACTCCGTTCAAATCTACTTCCATCTGAAGTAGTGGCATTTTCGTGACTCTTTATATCATTAGATTTCGCTCCTGTAGGTGAATTTTGCGATTGAGCAGTTGGTTTCGCTTTAGATAAAGTCTGACTAGCCTCAGGTAGGTGGGCAGCCGATGGAGCCGGGGGGAGCTTGCTCTATGGAATGTCCAGCATTTTGATGTGGTTGAGGCGGTTGTTGCGGAAGTGGTTGTTGGTTATTTAAGGTAGATGGCGGCGATGGTTGTTGCCCTCCTATTTTTCTATCCCCAAGTGGACGCTTTGGTCGTTCATTACTCGGCATGCCGACCGGATCTTGTGCGGAACCTCCAGGAATTCCTGGTAATTGACAATTTACGACTTCGACGAGATTAAGGAGCAAAAGCGTGGTGACAAGTAAAGTAAGGAATTTCTGATTGAGCATCTTTTATTTATAAATAGTAGAGGATTTGAGGATTCGATCGTTGCGCGAAAAAATTTTCTTTTTTTTTGTATTTCTTTTTTTTTTCTTTTTTTTTTTTGACTTTTTACTTTTTATTTTTTTGGAAAAGCTTTTGATATCTCCGTTTGTTCTAAACTGGATGACAAAAAGAATCTATCACAATTCCGAGTAAGACACAATACTCTTTTATACTATACCATCTTGGAGCATACAATATCATGACAACCTAAATAATCAAAAATCAAAAAAGAATGAATGTTGCATGAATAAATAAAGCATGAGCATGGGTGATTGAAATCCTCGGTGAATTAACATTTTGATAAATGTGATATCAAAATCGCGCATTAAGATATCAAATCTGATAAATCCTTGTGTTGCCACCTTCTTCTGAGTTGTAAAGTGTAGACGCGTGAAAATCGCAATTTCATCAAATATTTGTTTTGTGATAAGGTCGCGTAACCTAAAATTCATTCAATCCAAACCTCTTCACTTAAAAAACAATTACGGCCAACGTTCAGACACACGAAAGCTTATTTAAGTTCTATTTTACGCGTCATGATTAGATATTTTTTATCTAGTGATTAAGCGAATATACGGATTTTTATAACGTAACAACGTAGATCACATTTTTTTATCAACTAATAATGTACAGTACAAATTGATAATAATATATACAGCATATGTATATTTCATCTATTATAATAATAATGGTAATAATAATAATTAAATTCATTAAGGGATTTCTATTAAATACAAATTTACTACTCAGAATTATCATTAAAAAAGATAAAGAAATTGTCACAATTAATAATAGATGAAGTATTAAAAAATCCAATCCGCATGACATTTATTAAATTACTAAATTAACTTTACGAATAACTTATCAACTATGTGCAATAGAAGTTGTATATACTGTACATTAACTACGACATACAGTATAATACTGTATAATCAATTTAAAAAGTTATTCTAAAACAATTGCTTTATCATCGCGGGATAAAATAATAACAATATTACCGTATGTCGTGGTATATAGTACCCCCCCCCCCCCCTTGTAGAATGCTTGCCGGTTCATGCATGGATGTTTTAATGGTGCATATCAATCTGCCAATCAATAAATATAAGAATC